CAAATGTATCAGCGTAAAGGCAGATGTTTTCCCTTAACATCTGTCATGTTCTTCACATACCTCTGCAAGTAATTTGTCTTACTTTGCGAGGCATATCCCACATCATCAGGCTGTAGACGTGAAGAGATTTGCCTTGCATGCAAACATTATGGATGGATTTTCATATGAGACTACACATGATGTCATGGGTTAGCAGCTGTACAACAGGCTCTTGATCTTTTGCGGCTGAAATTGCTTTTGAGATGCCCTTTGACATGAAATGCAGAGAAAAAAAATCGGGGAAATGTAAATTTGCCCTGGATTATAATTTAAGCTCATAGTTAATCTTTTTATTTTTGTATGATGATGCTTAAAGGAAGTCTTGAATATAAGTGTAATGGATGATATTGCAGAAAAATATTTGTGGAAGGGGAGGAGCGAGGGTACGGCGAGCTGCGACGAGAGAAATATTTCAAATTAATCAGGTAAAAGCAAAATACTCCCATGGCTGTCTATTGTTTCTCTGGAGACAATGAATCCTTTCATCAAGTTGGTGGCACATCATTAGCGCCCGCGGTGGGATGTAAAGCGTTCTCACCCAAGAAGCCCCAACAGGATTATGAAGATTTGATGCATCTGCTGGGAGGCAAAACACGGTGGCTGCATTTCGAAAGCCAGGATTAGTTGCCTTTTTTTATGTTATCTCCTCTGGCCTGGACCATGAGGCTAGAGCGAGGGCGGCGGGCTTCTCTGGCGATCACCCTCAACTTTGTCGCGTTTGCTTTTGCATTGTCTGCGGTGACCACCAGCTACTGGTGCGAGGGGACCCGGAAGGTGGCCAAGCCCTTCTGCACCGGCCCCACAAAAGCCAAGCAGTGGTTCTGCATCCGATTCAACAGCACCAACATCAACGACAGCCGCCTGGTGCAGTACATCTTCGAGACCGGAGAGGAGAAGTTCCTCATGAGGAAGTTCCACACGGGAATATTTTTCTCCTGTGAGCAGGCTGCCGACATGAATGGTTAGTCTGACTTTAAAACCTCCTTCAGCTGCAGCTAGGTGTGCAAAACCAGGAAGTGATGCTGCAGGAAGTAAAAATCTAAATATTTGGTCAATCTACATTAAATGTCGAGAAAGTTAATGGAAATCCTACCTATTCATTAGTGATTACGCTGAACGTCTTTTATTAACAGCAATATGACTTTATTTGTCTATATGATTTAAATTGAGGCACATTTGCTTATATAGCTGTACAGTGCATTCACTTTATTACTTTGTACTGTAAGCGTTTGCACAGTCCTTGAACATTTTTAAACATTTGTGCACAACCTGTGCAGTGTAAAAAACATTGTCAGTCTCTAAATCCTCCATATGTTGAAGTTAACTGTATTCACAGTTACCGTTAGCCTTCAGGGGAAATGTATTGCAAATAAAAAGCCTTGAGTAACTTTTTCATTAGTACCAAATAACATTTTCTCTTCAATGGAATGTCAGAGGTAAGTTGTTAGAAGTGTCATTTTATCCTGCAACAACAATAAATCCTACTGTATTTTTTTTCTTTTGATTGCAGGGTTTGACTGCAGAGACTTCTCAGAAATTGCACCAGAACATGAGAGAGGTACTATGATGTATGATGTTGAGCTTGAGTTACAATGGTAGCCTAGCCTAGCATTTTAAACATGTTTTGCTTGCTGTCATGCAGACAGACGTAACAACAATAATTCTGACTTTTAACAAACCGCTATAATTTTTTTGTCATTTCAGAATCCTTGTGTGCAATTAAATACCTGCATGTCAATGCTTGGTTCATATCACTCTAGCCAACAAGATAGATTTAGCTGGGCTGTGACTTGTTTGAGACACTGAATACAGCTTGGTTGAATCACTGTTTGTATCTCCGGATGATGTTATGAACCAAGACTTGACACATATGGTTTCTCTACATATCAGGGACTTCCACAACAAAGCAGCAGCAGTGTTTATTTTGGCGATAGCTAGTTAATAGGCTTGTTTGAGACGAGCTGCGGCTCGCCTCGAAAGTAGACGAGAATAACCGATCGCAGCCGGGGGAGGTCTCAAAAAGCTCGCCTGAAGTCGGACAGCTCGGAGTCGGCTTCTTCTTCTTCTTCTTCTTCTTCTTCTTCTTCTTCTTCTTCTTCTTCTCTCGGTTTTTGGGCGGATTGCAAACAACTTTAAGGTGCATACCGCCACCTCCGGAGTCGGCTTGAGTCGGTTTGCATTTATAAAGAATGCACACATGTGTTTAATCGTTAATGTCAGATATATAATAAGTAATGCTGTCAAAATTATCGCGTTAACGGCGGTAATTAATTTTTTGAATTAATTGCGTTAAAATATTTAACGCATNGGAATAGAGGGTGGGGGGAGCCCCACAGATAAATGACGTAGCAACAATCCTGGCAGAAACAGAGCATTCTGGGAAGATGACAATTCTCAGAGTGAAGACGGTCTTCACTCTGAGAATTGTCATCTTCCCAGAATGCTCTGTTTCTGCCAGGATTGTTGCTACGTCATTTATCTGTGGGGCTCCCCCCACCCTCTATTCCTCTCCCCTCCCCCCTCTCTATCCCCTGTCTCTGTGAGCATGGAGACAGTAAACAGCTTTCTCCTCCAGTTGCTGCTGTTGATAGGATTTTTATTTTAGGACTTTGAGTGTTTATCATTTTTTTCTGTGATTTAAGACCTAAATACTATGTCGTTTCTTCTGAAATATTTAACATACTTTATTTGTTTTTTTCCCCATATTTTTCGGGATACTATGGTAAAATGGACTGTACTTATATAGCGCTTTATCCAGTCTTTAAGACCCCTCAAAGCGCTTTGCATACTACATGTCATTCACCCATTCAAACCCATTCATACAGAGCAGTGTACCTTACTCTAGGACCTAACATTCACACACATTCACACACCGTTGGCCATGCCATCGGGAGCAACTCAGGGTTAAGTATCTTGCCCAAGGATACATCGACATGTTGACTGCATGGGCTGGGATCGAACCCACAACCTTCTGGTTGAAAGACGACCGCACTCCCTCGCAGCCACAGTCGCCCATTTCGACATAAAATACTATGTGGTTTTTTTCATTTTCGACATTATGCAGTTTTTTGCATTCTTTCAACATAGTATACTGTTTTTATTCATATTTCTCGACATACTATACTATTTTTTGACATACTATACCATGTTGTTACCAAGGCCGGATTAGTACCTCCAGGGGCCCCTGGGCACTGAGCACTCATGGCCCCCTCCCCAACCCACGTACCAACAAGTAACACCCCGCCTACCCAATCCTACCAACATGACGAATATTTAGAATTTTC